ATGACTGGGTCAGACCAAGTGGAGGTTTTGGATAAATGTATTTTTGTATTAAAAGATCAAGCAGGATTGACTGTAAATGTTTAGTTTGTAGGATTGCCTGCAAGTGTGGAATTTGTACAAGGATGAGATTTGCATGTTTGGTTATATCAAAGTTGTAGAGTCACCATGCTGTATAATGATAGAGCTGATGTGAGCTGTATGAATTTAGCACCAGAAAGGCACCAGATTTTGCGAGAAAGTTGCCAATATATAAGGTGTAGAGATTCCCCAGGAGAATGAGGTTAGGCTGTGCTGCCAGAACATGAAATTATTTTGTGTAGTTATGAGTAAACTAGTGATGGTTAGATGAGGCCTCATGAAGCCTTGTGGCACACTACCCAAACTGCATTGATCCTGTGTAGGTACTGTGTCACTGTGTTGCTCAATACTGACACCTGCTGGATCTTAAAAATCATTACAGGCAACCAAGTTGACAGGCTCAACTGATACACTGATTTAATGACCGAGTACAGGGGAGTCCAATCCCGGTCCTCGAGGGCCACAATCCTGTATGTTTTAGATGTTTCCCTTCCAACACACCTGATTCAAATGTCAGAAGTTCTGCAGAAGCCTGATAACGATCCTGATCATTTTAATCAGGTGTGTTGGAAGAGGGAAACATCTAAAACATGCAGGATTGTGGCCCTCGAGGACCAGGATTGGACACCTCTGACCTAGTATATACAATAATACAATTTAAGTTTTCCTAACTTAGTTTAAAATATTGCTGATATCTTTAAAATATACAGTCAATAAATAATGTGAACATGTGTCATAATGTGAAAATCAAAGTTAAAGTGTTGTGGATGTGAGGATGCTTATGTACTTGTCTTTGAGGCAAGAAGGGAATTTTATTTTATTTTTTTACAAATCCATTGTTTCAATGTCTTGGCATTAAGGCAATCCTGGGACCTTGGAATGTTGGTCTCTGCCAGGTACTTCTGAACCTCAATAATAGATTCGGCTGTGACGTTGGTGGTCTGTCTGCCAACTTCCTCATCCAGGTGCTGCCACAGGTTATCTAAAAAACAACAAATTGGCATTTTATGATTTGCAAGCAAATAAAAGCACAAATAAACTGATACAACTAAATAACATGCCTGAGATGGGTTCTGATAGCTGTTGTGAAGAAGGTCCAGGCTGTAGTTCAGTCAAAGTGCGCCCCATTACAACCGCACATTCTGATTTCAGTCTTTTGACTGCTTCACTGCATTTGGAAGAACTACGAAACCCGAGTGATTTAAATCTGGGGTCTAGAAGTGTTGATAGGGACAACACACTAAATGACTCCAGATTAGAAGCAGCATCTGTGACTTGTTGCCTACGGTGTTAGTGGAAGTGTACTGCTGCCTGTGTGTGTAAATTTGAAGCGTTACGCTCAAGTGCATGATAGAACATTTTCATCATGGGGATGACCTTTGACCCTGAAACTCTCTTCTCTTCAGACAACTCCACTGTAGCGTGATAGAAAGGAGCAAGCACAAGAAGTGTTTCTCCTATGATGGTATACTCTTCAGCCGTAAGTGGAGTTATGTTCGTACTTAGCAAGGCAAGGGATACCCACGCTGGTTCCTTCTCATCATGTAGCCTTGACAGCATTTGATGTGTGCTGTTCCAGGATGTTGGCACCTCATTGATGAGTTTCAGGTTTGGCCATCCCATCTGTTGCTGCATTTGAGCAAGCTCCTCTTTGGCTGTGGTGCTTGATCTGAAGTATGTTTGCCTAGATTTGTGCCTGACTGAAGTAAGTGTAGCGATTTGATCGTGTGATTTTTTTTTGTATTAAATTTAGAGTGTGTGCAATGCAAATTGAATGCCAAATTTGGTGACTTTTTGCTGATGAAATCATGCTTGGTGCTGAGTTGGTCACAAGACACTTTACTTTATTATGGCCCAGTCGTCCATCATGCCCCTTTTGACTCAGGTCAAATTGTCAGTAGTGTGACTTTGTGGAAAGTGTTGCACTCTTAACACAGATGTACACAACTGCATATTCTCATTAATGTAGTGATAAGTAAGAGTCAAGTAGCCCTCCATGTTCACAGATGTCCACAGGTCATTTGTTATTCATCCCTCCATCCATTATCTGTTCACTGCTTAATCCTTACTAGGGTTACGGGGGCCTGGAGTCTATCCCAGCTGATTCAAGGGGAAGGCAGGGGACACCCTAGACAGGTCACCAGTCTATCACAGGGCCACCACACTTAGAGATAGACAACCAAGCACATTCATATTCACACCTACTGACAATTTAGAATCACCAATTAACCTCAACATGTTTTTGGACTGTGTGGCAGGAAGCCGCAGAACCTGGAGAGAACCCACGTTGCACAGGGAGAACATGCAAACTCCACACAGAAAGATCCCAGGCATCCTAACCAGGACGTGAACCAGGGATCTTCTGGCTGCGAGGCGACGGTGCTAACCACCGAGCCACCTAGCAGCCCTATAATAATTATATGGTATGATATTCTCTTATCTTTTTATGGCATTTTAGTTCCTGTTATTTTTGTACTGACTCAGGTTTGCACTTGATTTTCATTGTACACGTTGCAATGACAATAAAGATCTATTCTCTTCTATTCTATTGATAAAAGGGCCTAGAGATCATGAAATAATGTAGAGATGTAAGCATAAATGGATGGATGCATGGATGCTGTGGGAAAGAGGAATTACCTCGTGGGAGAAGCAAAGGGGAGTAAAAAAAAAAACACCTTCAATATGTTTAGAACTACAAAGGAACTTTATTCTGTTGATTCTTCTTCTTTTTCTTCTTCTTCTTCTTTATTTTGCCATTGAAATAGGTCGCCACTTCTTAAAATATCTTCATGACTAATGCCTTGTCTAGACCTACATTCCATAAATCAGTTTCGTTTTGTTATATGTTTGAATATCAAATTTAATCAGAAGAATGTTTTGTACATTTACATCAGTGGCGGCTTTGCGCATGCGCGATTCATTTGCGGTGTGGAGCGGTGACGGGCTCCTCTGATCCGACTGCGGCTGCGCCAGACTACTGACCGCCTGTGAGTGCTTCGGGATGGGGAGGAGCTCACGGCAGCTCCCGCTGCCCGGAAAACACGATTCGTGTCGAGTCTCCAAAACGACAGAAAAGTCTCAAATTACACTAGTGAAAGACTCCAAGACGCCAAGGGGATTTGGAAAGGCGCCAGATTTTGCCAAACTGGCAACACAGGGAGACGCGCCTCACGACCCGGGAGAGGTAGTGCTCACGTGATCTAACGACCCGGAAGAGAAATGTTGTTTGTGTTTTCAGCAGAATGTGCGGTACAGACATGTTCATCAGCCGCTGTCCAGCAGTACGTGACAGCAAAGAGCAGGTGAATACAGATCTACAGACACAGTTGTATTGTTAAAATGTGTATCTGGATGGGTTTGTTTAGTTCGGGACGTCTCGAAATTTGTTTGTCAGAATAATCAGATGTGAAAGTGGTAAAAGTGCCTGTCACTGTCACTGTCTGTGCATCAAACTAATCTCTCTCTCTCTCTCTCTCTCTCTCTGTGTGTCTCTGTGTGTGTGAAAGGGCTAAACGATTTAGGGAAATATCTGTTTTAAATGTTTGTGTTACGATTTGATTTGCAATATTCTGTAATATTGACTCTGTAAAAGATTTAAAAGATGTGAGAGAGCATTACCACATGAGAGCTTATCAAAAGCATCACTGTCATACAAGAGGACAGCATGAATTTGTAGAACAGCTGACAGACAGGTAAAACCTTGTCTTAAACTTTGAATCTATAGCCAAATACCATGTACTGTAGTGCTTTCAAATGGATCTTGTTTACCATTTTCATGAAAAAAGTCCATATAAACTCTTGTGGCATACATGACCTTTGCTGACTTTTACCTTTGGTTGATTCTTTATATAGAGTTCTTCTTTTTTTAACTTTGGCTTTCTAAATGGTTAGCCAAGATGGCCAGATGCAGACAGCAGTGTGTTGTCGTTTGCTTACAGCAGTGGTCTCAAGGCCAATGGCTGATCTTACTAACCAGAATTCCAGGCATTTGGTGTAGACAACTTCCCATATCATAATCACAAGCTCATGATTCCCATGTGAAGGCAGCTTCAGACTGTCACATATACATGTTATGTGTGTATATAACCAATCACAACACATGTCTTTAACAGGAAATTGTGGTTTATATCAACCTGGTGTAATTTCATTAACATGGCAATTGTGGCTCAAAGTGTCATTCTAACCTTTGCTCTCAACCTGCTTTGTAGCTATTTGTTGAAATGAAGATTCGCACAGAACAGCATGTAAATGGTGTGTATCGGGCTGACGATGATGGACTCCTGCAGCTGTTCAGAAAAGCATAGTTTTACATGAATTCTTTTAAACGTTTGTTTTCCTATCTCACCAAAAGTAAATACAGTACTTAGCCACCTGAAAGGATGGACTGCAGTTGCACAATAAAGAGACGCTCCAGCTGTGGCTTGTTGCTCTGCAAATTGATTGCAACACAAGTGTCAAGGAACTCTGCTTGTCAGATTAGCATTGTGGGTCAAGAATATGTGTAACCACAGGCTGTTGTGTCTTGCAGTGGGTAACACATGCACCGTGATCCAGCACATAAAAATACATTTTTTTAACACTGAGAGCTGTTCTCTCTATCTGGTCATTTTTGCCTTTTCTTACAGCTTAACTTGAGAAGGTGACACACCACCTCCAAGAGGGCAATTTTTTTTTTTAATCAAAGCTTCGGTTGAAGCTTTGGTTCGTGAGTTGTAAGTCCCAGAGTTGGAGTTACTGTCAGCCATGGACACATAGAGATTTTCCAAGTCATCACCGTTTCCTGAGCTGCTTTGTCTTTGAGGTTGTCCTGTTGTCTTTAGGGACATCCTGTTTTCTTTCTGCCTCCATCCTCTTGAGTCACTTTGTTCATTTGATTTAACTCCTCGGCTGTGGATTCTAACAAATAAAGATGACACTTCAACTTATTGACCTGTGGTCCATTGGGTGAGCCATTCTCGTATTTTGCAGCTTTGTCTTCTCAGGAGACAGTAAGGTGACAGCAAAGGTTAACCTCACACGTCTGTGTGGAGGGGTATGCCAGTGATTGGGTCAGACAGCAGCTATCCCTGAATGGAGAGCGCTAATGCAGTTAGCAAAATGGGCATTCCAGGCAGCAAATTCATGTGTTTACCCGCTCTTTTGTCCATTTGCAAAAGCATCATTCGTTATTGCTTTCCAGCCACTGTTTCAAGGTAATCTGTGGCTGCCTCCTGAGCTAGCTGCTAGCCATTAGCTTAACTTTAGCCACTGGGAAAGTTTGGCTGTGCTTCTTGTTCACTGTTTGCAGGTCGATTGCATAATCGGTCGATTCCCGACACCACAGTGATTACAGAGAGAGAAGCAGTTGCGTAAGTGCTAAAGTTGTGCATTTAATTTATGTTATTGGTAATTGGCTAACAAAAGTAACCAGAAAATAATAAATAATAAAATGATAATCAGAAAAATGCCAAATATCATCCCTGATATTTGACTGAGCTCAGACAGTTGCTGGAAACATTCACAAGTCACAAGTTGTTCTGTGAAATGAGTCCGGATTTCTTTGAATCCCTATAACAGAGGTGAACAGTGCAATGTGAGCATGACCCATTGAGCCACAATAACCCCGATAATGGACAGTCCGACAGTCTCAAATAAGCTAGAATTCTCCTGAAGTTTTCTTCTGTTGCCCTTCACTGTGTTGCTTTGCAGAGATGAGCTGGTTTGAACTGAATGAGGAAAAGTTCCATCACTGTTGTCAGCTCATCCTGCAGCAGTCAGAGCAGCTGAGCGATGGATGGATCTGGGAGGTGGTACAGGTGAGGAGGTCCATGCTGTCCCTCTTAACAGTCTGAACAGAAAGCCTGCTGTTGTCCATAAAGTGCTTTATGGTTGATTCTGATCTGGTTTCAGGGTTCAAAGGAGGGATACCTGAGGAAAACGGCTCTTAGGTCAGTCACCATTGACTCAAAATCAGTACAAAAACAGAAAGGATCCAGTTTAGACCCAGAGCCACACACTTCCTATCATTCCAGCGTTGAACAACAAGGACAGGAAGACGAACAGGTGAAACATTCATCATGCAACAACTGCTTTATTTTCCATCGTGCCTTATTTGTCTGTCACTGAGGTAATTAATCAGTACTTCTCATTTTTACAGTTTTATTAGTTTCTCTAGTTTGAAGCAGCCACATACACAGCTGTTGTACTTACTGAACTCCACTGACTCTCTTCTACCGCAGCCTGATTGCATCAAAGATGACATAGATGATGAGGATGCTGGGATCTGCATGATGACTGCAAACAGCAGCCAGGTGCTTCAGTTCGAGTATCACATCTTGTACTCCTGCAGCTACAGTTCTCCTGTGCTGTATTTTAGAGCCTTCACTCTCGGTTAGTTACATGTAAGACAGTCACTGTGCGTGCACTGTTAACATAAGTGGTTGTTTTGTGCCTTGTAGACATACAAGGTGTATTGAAAATTCACATACAGTTGTGTTCAAAACAATAGCAGTCCCAACATGACTAACCAGAGCAGCCACTAGTTTTGGTAGAAATTATATTATCGCATGGCAAATAATTTACCAGCAGTTGTTGTAAAGACAGAGAAACCAACAGACCCAACATTCATGACATGCATGCTCCTGAGTCTGTGTAATTGAATAATGAATCGAAAGGGGTGTGTTCAAAATAATAGCAGTGTGGAGTTCAATCAGTGAGGTCATTCATTATGTGGAGAAACAGGTGTCATTCAGGTGGCCCTTATTTAAGGATGAAGCCAGCACATGTTGTACATGCAATTTTCTCTGAAAACCTGAGGAAGATGGATCGTTCCAGACACTGTACAGAAGATCAGCGTGTTTAAATTAAAATGTTGATTGGAGAGGAGAAAATGTATAAAGACGAGCAGAAAATGATAGGCTGCTCAGCTAAAATGATCTCCAATGTTTTGAAGTGGAAAGCAAAACCAGAGAGATGTGGAAGAAAGTGGAAGACTACCATTCGAATGGATCGAACAATAGCCAGAATGGCAAAGACTCAGCCAATGATTAGCTCCAAGGAGATCAAAGATGGTCTGAAGTTACCTGTGAGTACTGTGACAGTTAGAAGATGCTTGCGTGAGGCTAATCTATCGGCAAGAAGCCCCCGCAAAGTCCCACTGTTAAACAAAAATATGTGCTGAAGAGGATACAGTTTGCCAAAGAACATGTTGACTGGCCTAAAGAGAAATGGAAAAAACATTTTGTGGACTGATGAAAGTAAGATTGTTCTTTTTGGGTCCAAGGGCTGCAGACAGTTTGTCAGACTACCCCCAAACACTGAATTCAAGCCACAGTACACTGTGAAGACCGTGAAGCATGGTGGTGCAAGCATCATGATATGGGGCTGTTTCTCTTACTATGGTGTCGGGCCTATTGATCACATACCAGGGATCATGGATCAATTTGCCTATATCAAAACACTTGAAGTAATTAAAAATATTGTTACATTTTCCTTCATGTGTTGGTGTAAAATGTATTGTGCAGTGTTGCCAGTGAATGGAAATAAAAATATTATAAGGATTTTGAGCTTTACTCACGTTTTAAAAAACATTGCTATTATTTTGAACGCAACTGTATGTTACTATCAAATCAGGGCTGCATGGTGGCTCGGTTGTTAGCATTGTCACCTCACCACTAGAAGATTCCCGGTTCCCGTCCCGGTTTGGACGCCTGGGATCTTTCTGTGTGGAGTTTGTGCATTGTTCCCTTTGTGCAGTGTGGGTTCTTTCTGGGTTCTCCGACTTCCACCCACAAGGTCCAAATACATGTTGAGGTTAATTGGTGATTCTGAATTGTGCATAGGTGTGACTGTGAGTGTGCTTGGTTGTCTGTTTGTAAGTGTAGCCCTGTGATAGACTGGTGACCTGTCCAGGGTGTCCCCTGCCTTCCCCCTAAGTCATTTGGGATAGACTCCAACACCCTTGAAACAGACACCCTTTCCACTTACGATTACGCTTATAACTTTCCTCTTTGATAAAGCTCATAGTTAGGGCTGATCAAGATCACCTGAACTGTCCCTTAGTTATGCTGCTATAGGTTTAGACTGCTGGGGGATTATCACAATGCACTGGGCTCCTCTCTACTCTCCTCTCTCTTTCTTCCATACATTTATATATCACCATTACATGTCACTAACTCTGTGTTTCCCCCGAGGTCCTATGTTTATTCTCTCTGCAGAAGTCTCTGGATCTGGAGCTACACACCTCTGATCTGCAGCTGCTGGCCTCACCGATATTTATTGTACTGTTTTGTATTTCTTGCTCACCATTTGCTAAACAAAAACAAAACAAAACAATTCCCCTTGACCGAGAAGGACAAATAAAAACCTCTGTCAGAACCAGGCTCAGGGAAGACGGCCGTCTGTCTCGATCAGTTGGGGTGAGAGTGGGGATGATGGTGGTTGTGGGTGCGAATAGCAGAATAGCAGGAGGGGGACCGGCAAACAATACATAAGAGAATGATAAACACTTTTCAATTGGTGAGACCAGCGACTGCAGATCAGAGACGGGCAGCTCCAGATCTAGAGACAACTGCAGAGAGAACAAGACAAATTACAGAGAGAGAAGACACAAAGTTAGTGACATGTTTTTGTGGTTGTAACTGTTTGGAAGAGAGTGTGGAGGAGAGGCGCTCAGTGCAAATAAAGGTCTAGATGTCTCAGAATGTTTTAGAGCTCAACCAGGATATAACAGTCATGTCAATCATTGGTTCACAAGCCCAGAGAGAAAAATTGACCGCCAAACTAGATATGCTCAGGCTCAACTTAAGCCACAAAATCTAACAGTGATTTTTAGTGCAGATTTCAATATCAAAACTTATGTACAGTGTGTCCCATGAACACCATTTTATCATCTGAGAAGCATCTCAAACTGAGGCTGTTTCTCTCTCTGAGAAATCCAGAGAGACTGATAATGAAATGAAATGACTGATAACAGAAAATTCCTCAAAAAAAAAACAGAGAGACTCTTAGCTGGATACAGAAACATTTTAAAAGGTATACCATCTACCAAAGAGGGGGTTGCTAAATACGGGCTTAGTGGGGTGCCTAAAGTTTTGAACATACGACATTTATTGTTCCTTTGTAAGTTCATAAACTTAAAAACAGTGTTAGCATTTGAACATTGGTTTATTTCGATGTGTTTTTGCTGAAAGGATTGTATTTACTTCTCTTCCCTGAAAAAATCAATTAACTACATATGTCCTTTACCTATGGGCCAAAACGTTTACATACAACTCTGTGTTATTGCTAGAAAAGAGAAAACCATCACATGTAAACATATCATGCATGTGCATGAATTTATAAATGCATCCATAAGTTAGCAATATAGGGCTGTGGCTTAGGTGGAAGAGCAGGTTGTCCACTCATCACAAGGTTGACGATTCAATCCCCTGCCCCTTCACATGTTGAAATGTCCGTGGGCAAGACACTGTACCCCAAGTTACTGAGGTACCTTGCATGGCACCTCTTTTGCCATTGGTGTGTGAAAGTGTGTGTAAATGGGTGAATGAGAAACACAGTGTAACACTAAGGTAGAAAAGTGCTATGTCAGACCATTTAGCAATAACAAATGGCAGTGTGTCACAATATTGGACAGACTTAATCATACAAAGGATAGAGAATATGACCATGTGAAATTAACTGGCCTTCAAATGGCCCTTCACCAAGTTCCAATGCAACGGCTGTGTATCATGATCACTTGCACAAAACAAATCACCCTTTAACTTCTCTGACTTCAACTTTATCCCAAGAAGACCTGTTAGTAATGTACTTGAGAAGATGAAGTCTACTGATCACGTCTCACATATGTTAGCTTTGAAAATATGTTTAGTCAGATTTAAATCTCAGACAGTCAAACCTCCACAAATGTGTGATATGCTGCTCCACCACTTTCCCAGTAGAAACAATTCGAGCACTTTGTGATTTGTTTCCATAGAAAGGTTGGCTTTATAATAGTGCCTTGAAAAATTGTCACATTTTTGACCAGTGACCAAGTTCCAGGGGCTAGTACTTTAAAAAGTAATAGCATCTGACCAGGTGCTTCTGGGAGAGTAAATCTTGCATTTAATTTAGATCCTGAGTCCTCCTGTGGAAATGCAGGCAGAGGAACTGAGTCCGTCAAAGGTTTCCCCTTTTATCTGAGTGGAAACACACCTATTACCACCATACCAGAGAGTGTTTATACCTAATCCTTTTTCAGTAATGTCAGGTCTTTAAAAATCGCCTCTGAAATGTTTTTTTTCTGGATCTTCTACCTTGTGTATCAGAAGGAAGAAGCTTAACACTAGAGGAGGTGTGGAACTCTGTTCATCCAAATTTCAGGCTTTGTCTTCAGAACAGTCCTCTGGATACAATCACTCAACAGGTAAGAATAGCCCTCAGCTTATTATCACTGTCTTCCTTCTTGAAGCTTCACTGAGATCTTCTCTCTGTGTCTGTATATCAGGAGCATCCCCTGCTTGGTCAGCCTTTCTTTGTGCTCCACCCCTGCAGGACGAAGGACTTTATGAGGCCTGTGCTTCAGGCAGCTCAGGACCAGCACAGGTACGATCACAGCTGGATTCACAAACCAAAAACAGACAGTGAACACATAAACGTGTTTGCAGCTTAGCTGTTTCCTGCTAATTGTCTAGTGCAACACTGTGTATTAGGGCCTGTCCATTCATTTAGAACTATAGTGGGGAAAAACCTTTGTTAAATCTATACTAAATTAATAATACTATAATTTTTATACTAAAAAAAAAATACTATATTTCTGTATTATCGTTTATTTTGTAGCAGTTCTTATTCTTATGTTTTAATGATGTTGGATTTATGTCGTAACAAAATCAATACGTTGAAATAGCAATATGTAAAATGAACTTTCAGCCAGCTTAACTGTCTGTAAGCTCTTTTGTCTTTCATCTGGCAGTTTGCTATGTTTCATTGTGAGTAAGAGAAACAACCATGTGCAGAAACACTGCAATGTTAACAGCAGATAAAAAAAAGAAGAAAAAAAAGAAAGAAAATGAACAAAAGTGCCCTGTTTATTCCAGAACATCAAGGTGTATACAATCAGACTGTCTGTAGTAAAACTAAATTTCTTGGGAATTTGCACCACAAAAGCAGAACGAGCTCATGTCAAATTTGTAAGGTCTGTACCTTACTGTGTGAGATGATATATGTTGTGAATTGGCGCTATATATTTAAAATTCAGTTGAACTAAATGTCAAAAACTCTTTTGAGTTCACAAAAAAATGACTAGCAAATAGCAAATATTTATATGTGACAACACATTTTGATAAAAAATAATGATAAATAAAACAATTAAATTATATATTAATTGATCGTCGTTTTCATTTAGTTGCTGTCTGGTTAGTGTGTGTCAATTCAGATGGAACTCAGGAAATGTGTTGGTCCACCGTCTCAGATTTTGTTTGGAGTTTTTTTATTTGTTGTTTTGGATAAAAAACCAAGTTCTGTAAAAAAATATAAAATAAAAAAAATAAAAATTGTTTACATATCTGGAAATTTTTGTATTTTCACCCTCAAAAAAGTCTTACCTAGGAACCCATTTTAAGGATTCAATATTTAATATTTAACTCATGCAGATATGAAATTTGGTGGCTAGTATGACAAGCCAGGCTTCCAGTTTTTAGATATGTTTAATGTGCCGAATTAGTGATATGGACTCTTTCATACGACCACAAAAAATGGTATGCATAGGGGGTCAGTGTACTGTCATTATTTCTGTGTTTTGGCCATTTACTCATGTAGATCTGCTGAAAACTCTTTTGTCTGTGTCCTTACTAAATTTCACATCTGTGGAAGTTATGTTTCGGAAGAAATTGAACCCTTACAATGACTTCTATGGTAAGTTCCTTTTGAGGATGAAAATACAAAAATCCCCAGGTCTAAAAAAAAATATGACATTCTCAAAATTCTGTCAAACTGTGTGTGTGTGTGTGTGTGTGTATATGTGTGTATGTGTGCGTACGTGTGTGTGTGTGTGTGTGTGCATGCATGTGTAGGCCAGTGAACTACGTGTTGTCGTGGCTCAGTGTGGTCGGTCCTGTGGTGGGCCTCGACGTCCCTCTGAAGTACTCCACTCAGCTCCATCCTGCTGCCTCACTCAGCAGCACCGAGCCGGACTGAGGCTGAAGCTGCTTTGGTTCACTTCATGTCACCAGCTGTGTGGCGTCTGTCTGCAAAGAGATTGGATAATTAGGCATTGTGAACAACTGGTCCAACAGCACAGACTTTCAAGACCCTGGAAGTTTGTCTGTGGGGCAGTTAGTGCTATTTTTGTTGCAAATTTCTTTGGCGGTATGCTAGAAACTGAAAACAGTAATGACAGCATTGAACCATTTTGTCTTTTTTATTTGATTTTGACATGTTTTCTGCAACAATAAAAAAAAAAGTTTTAATACTTTAGATGTTTGGGCTGATATTGTGTTTTTATGGTCATCTACTCCAGGCACAACATGCTCACTAGCTGAAACTGCAGTCTTCTTTGTAAATGTGTTCACACATTCTCACAAAACAGTCTACTTCAGTTGTGTTACAGGCATTTAATCTACTCTAGCATATAAATAACCACAGTTGTGTCCCACAATCAGTTGGTAATGAGCGTAATATTTACCTAACAATGACATCCTGCTGTAATCTTTTTTAAGAAAGTTTGTGCTGTCCACTCTCATATTCTGCATTACATTCAGCCTCAAACATGTACAGAAGGATGTGGCCATTTCCAATCAAGAATGAGAGATTATCTAACCTAGTAGGTTTACAGTTTGCATTTGGAACCGTCACAATGGCTAGAGATGGAGGCAGTGGTCACAAGCAAATCCAATTTATTTATTTTTTGTATAGCGCCAGTTTACAACATATATCATCTCATAGCACTTAACATAGTAAGGTGAAGACCTTATAAATTTGAACAGAAAAAAAACAACACTCCAAAGCTCCCTTTGGATTCCTTCTGAGCAAGCAGACGACGGTGGAAGGGAACCAAAAAAACCTCCCCTTTGGCTATGGAAGCTGGTCAATCGGAGAAAAGTGGGCTCTGAAGGAGGGTGTCTTAAAAGGCTCAGGGCTAATATCCCCTGTTTTCTGGCAGAGGTTCAACTGAGGGGCAGCAACAGCTAGTATGAGATAAATGAGTACATTTTTAATTGTGAATCATGCAAAGCTTCTCTATTGGAGAAAAACAGAAGAACAGACCTGCAGATGACTATAACATCCATCCATCCATCCATC